AACCAAATCTTTGTTTACAAAGAACTAAAAACGTGTGACTACGTCTTCCTTCGAGAAGACGCGTCACGGGGTTCTCTCCAACCTGCTTACTCTGGACCATACAAAGTTCTCGCCAGAGGTGTTAAAGTCTTTAAAATTCTTCTCAATAACAGGGAAAATACTGTTTCCATAAATCGCCTTAAACCTGCCTTTATATTATCTGTTCAAGACGATAACCACCAACCGTATGACCTTCAAAAATATGTTACCCGATCTGGTCGTCGGGTAAAGTATACAGATTTTTATCGCCCTTGACGGTCTCTGGTGGAGGGTGGTGTAGTGTACCTTACACTATTCTCACACACCCAATTCACACACTTTAATATTATTTACATTTCATTATTTTACACTTATTTATTTATATATACAAATGGAATTTCGATACCGGATGGTCGATAATTCATGTCGAATATTACCGACTGGGTCCGATCCCTATTACCGCGCATGCGTGGGATTGTTGTGATTTTCAGTATATTACAATGTACTCTGTGGTTGTGATGTCCCCCTTTAGGGGTATATATGTTCTGTGGTGATGTCGCTTAGCTACGTTGAATGGTGACATTTTTTTCTGCCTTAGCTAATTTTAATGTATTCTCAAGACTTTGGACTTTGAGTTAGTTTGGTTGACGTGCTTTCATCAATTTCTACTGCAAGATTGTATATTCAAGCTTAATTAAACATTATATTGTTCTTGAAGTGTTTGTGATCTTTTAGTGCGGAATTATCCTTCTGATATACCTGCTCCCATTACCTACAGTCGTATCGGTCCGGAAATACCGCAGACCATTGATATAATTTGTTTTAACTCAATGCCGCAGACAATAACTTGTTCCACAGATTGATTGTGCGGGGCAAAAAGTGTCCCGAAAAGCGCACAGTAGTGGAGCGCCAACTATCCAGTTAATGAGGATGAAAATTTTGCCGTGTGGAACGATGGCGGAAATTTGCGGCTGGTATTAGTCCGAACAATTCCTTGGAGCACTCTCCATGATATTTGCGATAGAGAATGCAGAGTGAAGCCACATCTCTACGTAACGCCAAGGGATCCAGCCGATCGGAGATATTTGGGATATCGACGATTCGAGTCACTCTTCGTTGGATGCGGTCCAGAGGGAGAAGCTGGTACTGAGGTGCCCCTGCATAGAGATGAGAACAGTATTCCATATGCGGCCGGACTTGCGCCTTATACAGCTGAAGGCGGTGGGCCGGAGTGAAATACTGCCTCAATCTGTTCAGGACACCGTTCATATTGACTTAATGAATTTAAAACTAATTTTAATTTATTTTGATTTTATTTGATTATTACTAATTGGGGTAATGATAATTTCTGATTCAAAATGTTTTGTTTACCTTTAATGCAGGCTGTGATCTTCTGTAATTAATAATACACCAGATCAATAATTTGTTATTTTTTGTGAATGTGATATTCTTGTTAAAGATCCATGTAACAAATAATAAAATAAAAAAAACCTTGCATATTTAAAAAAAAACTGTCTATGAACATGATAAAGATTCAGTACACTATTTTTACGTTAAGTACTGCTACAATCAAACAGATAAAATGATATCACACACTCTCCTCTGTGTCATTCGACAAATTGTTATAAAATACGTTTATTTAGCAATCTGATAAATTGAATACCCGTTCTTTATTTTATAGTAGCTGATATTTAAAAAAAAAAAGTATTTGTAGGTTAGTTCAAAAAGTAATGTATGATTTTTTACTGTACCTATAAATATAATCATAATATATATATATATATTAAAAAATATTTGTGTGCATGAACATTAAATCTTTTATTGGTCTGGGTGTTTCTATGTATAATATGTATGTAAAAAAAGTATATATGTATGTATGTATGTATTTATAGCAGTTGTCTAGTACCCATATTACAAGCTCTGCTTAGTTTGGGACTAGATGGCGTTGTGTGAATGCGGTAGAATATTATTATTATTAAATTATTAACCTTACTATACATTTATAAAACAATTTTGTTATACGCAATATGATAACGTATGCTATAATGAGTTATCATACAATGATTAGATTATCCTGATTAGATTAGCTCAAATTATCCTATTTAGCCTAATCTAAAACATAACATTCTCTAGCAGAATGGACACACAACACACACATTCATAAAAGGTTGTTTCGTCACTTGATTAGCGTTCGCCTATAAAATTATTATCAATAGGTATGAAAGTCCATGTTATGCGGTGAAAATAATGTTTTAATTATCTTACCAATATAATTCATACATACTATTCATACCAATATATTCATAATATTAAATATTATATTGATTCAATTTGCAGTAATCCATTACCATCAAGTGAGTGGACACAAAGTTGGTAGTTGATTAGTGAATGGCAAAGCACTTCTCACAATCTATTTTTATTATTTCATGTTTGACGGGCTCGTTGGTCTAGTGGTTAGTAACCCTGACTGCTGGTCGTGGGTTCGATTCCCACCCAGGACAAATAATTATGTGATGAGGACGATGATTTGGTTTTTGTCTGGGTGTAATTTATCCATAACATGTATTTATTTAGAAATATACCAGTATGTTTATTTGCAGTCTGGTTACCGTAGCACAGGTTCTGCCTAGTTTGTTATTATTATTATGGATCAGTAATTGCGCACGCCACCCATGGAGAAATAAGAGTAGAAATATTAAATTCTTTATTTTATGGGCAATCTTGTATTTAGAGGTTTTCCTCTCAAAAACCGATACTAATCATCGAATTAAAAGTGATGGGTTTTTGTGACGTATGACAATAACAGTAATTTTGTCATATCTTCGTCATTTGCTTCTCTTAATGTTTGTCATGTGGTTCAGCCTTAGTATTTTCATTAATTCATGTGTAAACATATATTCGTGGAGGCTTTGGGACAGGACTGGCGTCATATCTTCTATACAACTAAACACGTAAATCTTAAGCAGGAGAGTTACAACTAAGTCGTTCATTGCCAGAAAAAACACTGTTTTCTTTTACCTCATTATATTTTCCTTTTGCTGTAGATGTGCAAATATTGGTGGGAATAGAATATTAGTGAACAAAAGTTCGTAGAAAACATATTCTAACTTATAAACTACATAATTCATTATAATTAAAATACTGCCACTGAGTTTCAAGCTTATTACTTAATCATATTATATGCTTCGACTACTTATTGCATTAATTTCCCAACCTGCAAAACATCTATTTTATATCTATTATGTTTTATTCATTTATCCTTTATTAATTGACTTATATAACATATAAATATCATTTCCATTCCCATTTGTTGGTTGAGTCTAAATGCTATTAGAGAAATCAGGTAAATTTCTAGTCGTGTTTCTATAATGATTTCGTTACTTAGAAACGCAGTATGTGCCGTGATCATTTCTAAAGTCAAACGTTTTATATTATAAGTTTAACATAGTTTGACTAATCGATTCATACATTTATCTCCTATGTTAGCGATCAATTAAGTGCATTGTCTATGGCATTTGTTCGAATAACAAGCAGAACATGCACTTAGAATATTCCTGCGGCGATCATTAGTAATTCGAGAAACTTTCATTGTTATGTGAGAATTCCTACGGGACACCACCTCACCAGAGCCTAGGTTTAAGAGGCATGTCCCTAAGAAAAGTGCGAATAAACACTTAATATAGAAAAAAAAAAACTCATTTCACTTAATGACACTATAAAAAAAAAACAGATGAGTTTACATTTTTACCGCGTGAAACTTTTAAACTTTTTATTACCTTTTCTTTATTTTTGAGAACAAAAAGCCTCAACATTGATTAAAATCACCGAAATCGTCCTTTGCTATTTTGAATATTTCTGCTATTTCGTAGTTCTATTTAAAAATAGTTTTTTTGATCGCGAGACAAAAGTATAGATAATACATTCACCGTTCAATTTCATTTATTTTGCTAAATATTTGACAAAACAGATTGCTGTTATGGTAAGTATGGATTTACGACTTTAGAATCTACATAAGAGATGATTTCAAAAAAAAAAGAATTTTATAAAATAAAGATGCTTTGACTAAATCGCTGTGTTTATTTTAATCTGTATTTACTCTTCTTTTTAAATAAATAAATAAGAAATAATATATTATCTATGAAATCCACATTTCCCATATCACAATATTGACTTGACACTTTCTTAGATTTCTCCATAAAAACTAATAGTTTTAACATAATATCCACAAAGCGTACACTTGGACCACATCGTTTGTCGCCGGCTAGTACGGGCCTACGTACTACGCCCTAGGCACTATAGGCTCGCAAGCTTGCTATGCGTTACGATACATTGCGTGACGTGCGTTTTTTGTGACATTCATAACCTTATGAAAGCTGAAGGTAGATTGATTAGTGTCCACGGTAGCGTACTAATAATGCGCGTTACGTCTGTGTGCATGTAAAATATTAAATTGTGGGTGTTCAATCTCAAGTTTTCACGCTCTTGGATTACAGTCTTAAGTGGTATGCACCGGAATTGACTGAACTTCATTTCTTTAACTACCTTGAATTGTCGTACTATTAATTCTACTTTTAAATCACTTGGATAAAAATTAAACCAATAAGGGTAGGCCTCACGGCAATGTCAATTTGTTCATCCCGCAGCAAAATTATTCCAACTGGCCAAGGTACAGAGGTTCCTATCTATTATCGGATATCCGATCAGGATACACTATTGCACTAGAGAAAAATATTATAAGTTCCAAGTTGGTTCGCTTTCGACATTGATCTTTTAAAACTGTAGATTATAGCCGCAAGTTGATATGTCAAAATAAAACAAGATTATTTTCGTACATTATAATATTTTTAATGTTTAAATTGTGACTTTCATGGATAATTTACGAGTTTTCCTCAAAAAATAACAACACAAAATCATATTAATGTCATATAAAAATATCATTATCTTATGTTATATCGTTATATTATCTTCAATAACTAAAATATTTACAGTTTTTTAGGTAAAGCTATCGCTACACTCTTCACTTCCATATATTCTTCAACACAGTGCAAACCACTGAAACAAAACATGAAAAATGTAATACAGAATTTTGCTTTTGACGAAATCGCCTTAAAATGAAAAGTTGAATACATGCTTAAGTAAGTTATTTGGTACTAAATGTATGTACATAATAATGTACTCATGAAACTAAACTCTCTGTAAAATTAAAACGTAAAATGTTAGAAAAGTGATGTCTGAGGTATGTGTAGAAAACTAAATAAGTGTTCTATTTTCAATTTCAGTGATCAATATTTAATGGGAAAACTCAAGTACTATATATAGAGAGAAGAAAATAATAGAATCGTATACTAACTTTTCACGGCCAATGCCTGAATCTTTGAATCCTCCGAACGGTATGTTAGCACCCATTGCCAAGTATGTGTTCACCCTGCAATAAAGAAATATGTTTTGTATTCTAAAGATCTGTATTAATAACTTAAATTAAGTACTTCAGTTTGGATACAGATTTCTTGAAGCGCTTGTTTTTTGAAATAAAAATTAAGTTCCTGTTGAAAATTCTAAGTTTAAAAAGAGTTTACTCAATCGCGTTTAATTACTCGTATTTTTGAGGTCAAAAATAATAATCTTATCTTTCTTGATAATGCTCTCCAAATTAAATATCATTATAAAAACAAATTACCAAACATTGCCAGCTTCAACGTGTTTACTAAACTGCAGGGCGGTGTTGATATTAGTGGTAAAAATTCCAGCAGCCAATCCATAGCTGGTGTTGTTAGCACGCTCAAGAACTTCTTCAAAAGTTTCGAATTTTAAAATGCTCTGTACAGGACCAAAAATCTGTAAGTAAAAATTAAAATATTCACTATTAATTTTGTAAACTCGACGAATTATTAAGCTTATTAACAAGTTATAAAGAATCACAAAACAGACTATTGAAAAAGAGTAGATAATTATTGTTGTTTATCTAAAATATGTATGTATTAAGAAAAAATTAAGTATGTTTACGGCCCGGGGTATTATTTTTATCTTAAAACTGAGAAGTTTGTTACCTTTTTAAACATAATAATAATAATATATTCTACCACATACACACAACGCCATCTAGTCCCAAACTAAGCAGAGCTTGTACTATGGGTACTAGACAACTGATATAAATACATATATACTTTTTTGTAAATACATACATATTATACATAGAAACACCCAGACCAAAACCTTTTTTTTAAGAAAGTTGGTATTAAAATACTTTATATTTCTAATCACACTTTTGCCATTATAATCACAGTAAAACGTAGTATTTATTATTACCTCCTCCTTTGCGATCGTCATGTCGTCTGTCACGTCAGCAAACACCGTAGGCTCTATGTAGTACCCAGTAGTACCGAATCGCTTGCCACCCGCCAGGCATCTGGCACCTTCTTTTTTTCCTTTCTCGATATACCCTAACACCTTTTTAAACATTACTTCGTCTACCTAAAAGAAAGAAAAAAAATTAAAACAGTGTATAACTGAGATCAGTTAAAGAGAGAGCCCGGAGTTTCTAGTTTGAGTTACAGAGTCGTATACCGAGCTGCTAGATACACACTATTCTCCGTAATACATCTGTATTTACGTGGCATTGGGTGGATATGCAATATCTCTTTCTTTCCATTGCCTTACCTTCTTGATTATCGGTGCCTTCTCGTGATGCCTATTCTATATTCTGCCTATTCTAATAGATAGCATTGGAAATATCTTATGCTATCTATTAGAATAGGTGGAATATTGAGTATCTACGAGTATATGTTATCTGACTTTTTTAGCAAACTAAAATTTTTAAAAATGTATTTACCTGCGGTCCGTGTTGTGTAGTAGGATCAGCAGGGTTACCAATTTTGATACTTTGAGCATACTTAACGGCTGCCTCTACAAACTTGTCGTAAATTCCAGATTGCACAAAAAGTCGGGAAGCTGCTACACAAACTTGGCCTTGATGTAAAAATATTGCATTAGCGGCAAATGGGACAGCAATGTTCACTGAAATAGAAGTATCATGTAGGCATCCAAATTTTGTGGTGGTAACTATAAAATGGGAAAGTAGTGCGTAAATAAACAGGTGACTTGGCTGATGATAAGCCGTCAATGAATTTTCAAGATATTTAGAATCCTACTTTTTGTAACTATAGTAAAACTTACAATCGGCATCATTCATTATGACAAGCGGACTTTTACCGCCGAGCTCTAAACAAACGCGTTTCAAATTGTTTACTCCAGCTGCTTGCTGAATCAGCTTTCCAACCTGTTAGAAAGTTTTTTGGATATAATACACAACTAATTTTCTATAGACTGCAACTACGTCCAAGTCCATTACTTCGTTGCATTGCTCATATACTTTTACGCCATATTATTTTTCTCTCCTTATTCTCGGTCATATTTAAACACTTCTTAACTATAAACTAACAGTTTATAACGTCTTAATTAATTATGCCTATCAACTTGACAAAAAACGTCGAAAACCAAGCTAAAAGTAACTTACTTCTACAGATCCAGTGAAAGATATTTTAGCTACACCTGGGTGGTGTGTGAGAGCTACACCAGCAGTCTCGCCGTACCCATTAACGACATTTACAACACCTTTGGGAAAACCGGCCTCAGCCACTAAAGCGGCTAAAGCTAAAGCCGTCAGTGGCGTTTGTTCGGCTGGTTTCACCACTACAGTGCACCCTATAATCAGATTAATAAAGGTATGTAAAAAAACTATACTACGCTGTGCATAATTTTTAATTTGTGTCATCTGTTTGAAAGGATCTTACCGGCGGCCAAAGCTGTACAGACTTTCGATAGAAAAATCATTATGGGACCGTTCCAAGGCAGAATCAATGCAGCAACACCGACTGGCTGCTTCAGCGTATAAGAAAACAGTTCACCATCTATGAAGCAATGAAAGATTTAATTATAATTTGATTGATCAGTCATGTGGTATTTACTTTGACTTACAAAAGTAATTTGCGAGATTTATGAAGTGGGTTGTTAGTATTTATGTAGGTAAGGAACTAGCCCCCAATTTCAAAAATACTATTTTTCTGCTATAAAATAATACTAATTACGTACAGTAAGAAAATTCAATATTTGACTCCTGAATGATAAATTGTATGAGAACCTATTTTATTCATGTGTTACTGCATCATTCTTTGTTGTTATTAATACCTGCTGGGATGGTGTCGCCCTGCGTCTTGTCTGCTAAGCTGGCTATGTACCTTACGGTTTTGGATTGAGCGCTCAAGAAATGCTTCATGGCACTCAGAAGGCCTCCATTGTTATAAGATTCCAGTTCTGCAAGGTATTGACTATCTCTTTGAACAAGCTCTCCCAACTTGGCAATGAGGGCACCCCTCTCAGATGCATCCATTAGACGCCATTCTGAATTGCGGTGAAAGGCTCGTTTAGCTGCAGCTACGGCTAAGTCTATATCTGCCTGTTTAAAAAGCATAGTAGTTTTAGTAAGTAGTTGTGTTTATTAATAAAACTTATTGATTTGATATAGAAAATTGATTCAAATGCCCAAACTGAACGTCATGACAGTCGTTGAGTATTGTAGATAACTCATAAAACAACAACCTTGAACAAAAATACTCCAATTGTTATTCTGTCCGTCATAATACCCATAATGGTTAAGTCTAGAGGTCGTTGCGCGTGCCTTATAGCAATTAGTAATAATATACTTTGGGTGTTTTTTCTTATATTTCCTACATTTATATTTATTATAATATGCATATAATTCATTGTTTCGGTCATTAACAACTCCAAACCTTATCTCCTTCGGAGACGTGCGCGATAACTGATCCATCATGCGGACTGGTAGTGGGAAATGTTTTTCCACTTACAGAATCCACCCACTCATTGTCAATGAACAACTGCAAACAAATTAATTAACAGTCAATTTTGAGTAACAGAATAAAATCGCGAACTTTATGGTTAAGGGTGATGTACAATTTCGTTTTATCGTTTAGATTCTTATGTATCAATGGTCAAATGAAAAATGGTCAAGAGAAAATAAAGCGCATTGTTACTTTATTGGTAATAGTCTATTGTGCTACAAAATGTTTTGTTAACCAGCTGGATGTGTTAGAGCACGTACTATCATTGAAAAATACATAAGTTATAGTAGAATAAATGCTAATGTTGAGAATATTACAAACAGATACAATATCTATTTTTTAAATAATTTATACTAGTCAATTTTCTGGTAACAGTAAAGTGAATAGTATACAGTTTGTATGTATGTTAATGTGTTTGTTCAATGTCATTTCGTCTTAGTTATAATTATATTACAGCAATCCGTGATTAGCGATCAACGATTTAAAAATATATATTTTTGTTTATTATTTCCCAAAAAATACAATGATATTAACTTCCCAATAACACAAATTTTCCATAATTTAAACATTGTTATAAATTGAAAGTGTACAGGTGAAAAGAATAACGCCCTATAACTTTACCTGCGTTATACAAAAACAGTTCTAGTAATCAATAAACGTCCAATAAATCAATAAACATCTCAAAAATATATAAAGAACATGTGCTGGTTAAAGTTGCTCTGTTGCCTCACATCCGTTGATGTTATATAAACTACAAATAATTATAATAACAACATAAAATGCTTGTATGAGAAAAACTTCTCATACAGTTGTTTTAGTTTATTTTTGTATAGTACCTTTACAACTCAATACTTTATAACATAACGTACGACTCAGATTACTGAACACAGCTTAACTTTTATTCACAAATAAAATTAATTCTTTCTTAAACTTAATACTGGTTTGGTGTGAGCTATTAATATTTACCTACAACCGCAACAAATACCGATTACCGGGGTACCGTTAACGACTAGATAACCCCAACAATACTTTATAGACACCGGTTTGATATCAAAACAGATAATATAGTATTAAGACTGCTGATAAAAATACTGCTACATTACTAAGCAAATATGTATAAAAGTAGATAAATTGCTTTTTAAATGTGTAAAATAACATCTCTGAATTGTAGTTTATTAAACTGTATATAAATACCTTGGTATATTTAATTTGTGGAGCCATATTACACGAATAAGACACAATCCAATAATCACGAAATATACGTGTGGACGTCCGAGACTCACAGTTTCGACTGAACGAATGCTGCGAGGTTTTGGATGTTAGTTCACAGTACTTCACAGTTTATCTTTATTTATACGATGAAAAAAAGAACACACATACTAAGTACACATGTCTAGTATACTAAGTGTAATGATAATTAACGTTCATCATAAGAATTGTACAGTCTCTTCGTTAAATTTAATCAGAATACCTTACTACAATACAAAATTAAGGGTATGAAATCATATAATATACCTAATCAGAAATACAGCTGTTTATTTCATGAGAAAGAACAAATTAAAATAATAATAATGATCTACCACCTTCACACAACGCCATCTAGCCCCAAACTAAGCAGAGCTTGTACTATGGGTACTAGACAACTGATATAAATACATAAATACTTTTTTTTTGTAAATACATACATATTATACATAGAAACACCCAGACCAAATCAAATATTAAATGTTCATGCACACAAATGTTTGACTTGAGGTAAAAAATTAACACTCACTTAAATCCTATTTAGGTACTTTTCAACCAATGTGCTTGTGGTGGCGAACAGAATGAGCAGTTCACACTCAATATCCAGAACACACTTAACATGAAAAACTATTACCAAGGTCGATGGGAGCTAGGGATTTTGGGAAACTATTTATATATTTCTAAAAAATATGTATCTTTACACTTTTAGCCTAATGTAATAGTGCTATACTATGTACCTATTTATTATAACAAATAATGCTTAGCGCTGTCGTTGTGAATCCACTCTGTATCCAATAGAATAAATCTACCTCATCCGCAATTATCTTTAGTGCGTGTGCGGCGCTCGCTCAGCAGGTTGGGGCGCCCGTATTTTGTTTTTCGTAAATGAAGTTGTCATAATAATTGCATTTTTCCTATTAGCAAATTGCGGAATTCTATTATCAAATTAGATCTAAACTTTTTGTACGGATGCTGGTTTTTATTCCGTGTAAAATCCATTAAGGCTCAAATTACACTGATATATTTAGATAACAATTTTTAAAGCCTGCATTTAAGAGAAAAATAAAAGTTTTTTTCTGTTAGTAGTTATTTTAATCAATTAAATATTGTGTGATGAGGACGGTCATTTGTTCTGTGTCTGGGGTGTAATCTTATATATAAAATTCTCGTGTCACAATGTTAGTTACCATACTCCTCCGAAACGGCTGGACCGATTTTTATGAAATTTTGTGTGCACATCGGGTAGGTCTGAGAATCGGCCAACATCGATTTTTCATACCCCTAAATGACAAGGGTGACTCACCCCTCCTTTTTTTTTAAATTTCCTAGAAATGTTGTATTTGGCAAAACAACGGTTGCCGGATCAGCTAGTTTATCTATAATATGTGTCTATTTAAAAATATATAAGTATGTTTATCAGCAGTCTGGTTACCATAGTACAGGCTCTGCCTAGTTTTTGATCAGACGGCCGTGTGTGAGATGTGTCAGATATATGAGATATATATGTGTGATTTTTATTGTAGGATGGCAATACGAAATATACTATAAAATATTATTTATTCACAAGATCAGTATTGTAATCAGCTTTTCGCTTGAACATGACGTAGTTTACCATTTATTTCTCTTTACATTTGTAGAAATTTTTTCATAGCATACTCTCAAAGTAAACACTGTGAAAGTAAAAGTGTGCCACAGTGTGTGTGTCTACTCAAAATTGCAGTAATTTAAAAAATAGTAATTTAAAAAAAGGGAATTTAAAATTTCATTTTTTTATTATAGTTAAGTAGGACCAAAATATTTGCACTTTTCAAGGCACTGGCATTTTTCAAGAATAAAGTATCATTTCTAACTTAGAATATAATCCTCTTGTTTAGATAATATTACTACATAAAGCTACTACTACTACGATGACAACTGAATGCTTCCTGAACTGAGTGGTAAATTAAAATGATATAATATTAAGTAACTTTTGTGCATTCCTGTAGAATATTCATACTATTTTATAATATTATTTATTTTATATTTTTTTACTAAGTTTATCTATTTACCCATCATCCTTAGTTAGTCAAATCGACAGTATTGAGATAATAGTGTTCAACTGTGTATAGGAGCGTCTATGACTAGTAAATGCAGTAGCAGGCGAGTCATATGGGAAATTAAAACTATTTTTTAATCTAAAGGATAATGTTTAAAAAATAAAATTTTAAAACCATACATCATAATCAGGAGCTGAAGAAAGCGCCGGCAATCGGTTCAATGGGAGATGGAGCAAAGTGTAGTGAAAGTACCTACATTTAGATCACAATTACCAAAAAGCAAAATTGACGACTTTGGGGCATGGAATATACGACACGATGCGAGATATAGAATCATTATAATCATTCAATGGTAACTCCTTTATTGGTTTAATAAATAATATTTATCATTTTTTTTCATTTTAGCAACAAAAAATAATGTTAAACTCAGACTCAGAAATCAAAACTGAGCAATGTCATAGTCGTATATAAATAAAAACAATAAGTAAGTTTTGTGCGTAATAGCACAATGACATGGTAAATTCCATTCTGGTTTTATCACACACAATAGCAATTTGTCCCATCATCGGTAGTTACCATTTACTGATGTGGTATTAAGATAATAGTTTTCAACTGCATCTCCTGTGACCGGTACAATTAGATATTAAAACTAGGGCCTGATCCTTGACGGGAGGTGGCTCTTCGACGAGTATGGCCGGTAGTGACAGAAGTTTCAATGCAGTGGCATCCTTCTGCGAAGACGTTATCTCGCAGAAGAAGGCGGCGCAGAGGGCCCGGGAGGATGACCTCCACTCGGACCCAATTCCAGAAAACCCACAGAAATTGCATTACACACTTGACAACTACTATCTTAATACTTTCGAATTGTTTGACTAAGCATGACTGGGCAAATATATAAACTTAGTAAACAAAACAATATAGAATATACCAAGTCATATGTAAGTAGCCATATATAAGTAAGTGCAAAGATCAAATAATAATGATTACGATAATTTGGTTAATCAAAAATAAATCATATACACATGAAATTAAATAAAAAATAGGTATAATATAGTAAATGGATTATTACATTTGTCACTATATGATAAATGATAATTCGAATATAAACATTTGCATTTATTTTCGTACACTGATGAGATAAAAATACATTAGACATGCAAATTATGAAAAAAGTTTCGTTTTCGTTTCGAATTCTGATTTTGCCGCCCCTTGAAACGTCCGCCCGTGTGCGGTGCACGCTCTGCACACCCGTACCCGGCGGCCCTGAAGCCTCGCTTTTCAAACTCCACGCGAACGAAGTCGCGGTTACTAGCTAGTCGAATCTAAGTATTTGATGACTTTATCGATGGCTTGTGATATTTTTATTTCATTAACCCTTTACTATGTGTACAATTGCAAATCCTGTGTAGGTGATACGTACACTGAAGGTGCTAAGATTATGAGATTAATAAATATTTAAAAACATAATGTTGATAATATACCGCCTTAAGGAATGCTAGTGGGAAGATTACACCAACTTAACGTCAAATCATCAACATAAACACACACTGTTTTCGTCCCTGAAGATAATTGGAGAGCCATTCCAGTGCTTTTGTCGTATGTTACTGATTATAAGATACGTGAGTATGGAGTCCACTGTGGGTCCGACAGGGACTCCACACGCAGCATACGCTGGAAAACTGCCCTTCATCGGAATCCGAGCGTCGAGTCCTGGTCGGACAGATTGGACGAAACTTGTCACCACCAGCATTGATCGCGGCAATGCTGGCGAGTGGCGAGGGATGGGCAGCCACGGTCTCCTTCTGCGAGGACGTTATGCTCTAGAAAGAGCCTAAGGCCGGGCGCTTATGCGCTTCTTTATGCATCTGTCTGTCTGCCTAACTAAGCTTAATCAGGCCATATTTGCTATTGAAAAAAAGAACTTATACGATCCAACGCATCAGTGCAAAATAAATCCATAAGGACCTTCGATATAATGTTTTATTCAAACACAATTTGTTAGCTTTTTGTTTCCTAGCGTTTTATTTTTCCCCCAACTGTCACTCAAACCCTTTGCGACACACTAAACAGATAAGAGACTTTCGTAATAAATCAACATTATTTACCACTTAGGATACAATTCAACGTAGTAAGTATTTTATTTGTTGAAATGTAAATAGTTTAAATACTTATAGAAAAAGAAATATAGTATTGGAAAATAATATTATAATAAAATGTCTTGTATTTATAGAGAATAAACAGTTTTATTCAAGTGAATATTTCGAAGATGTCCGATTGGGTCTGGACCTTGGGTCCGTAAACAGCAGAATTATTTGCATTTGTTTGAACGAAAACCAGGACAAGCGGTTAGTCGAGTTGTTTAGCTATTATAACTTATATGAGCGATGCTGCTAACTATTTACCCACTCGGATCACCACGTTTCCAGAGCTAGTGTGAAGTGGTATGACGAGAAACATTATGAACTTAGGCCCCCTGATCAGCAGGTGAACTTACCTAAATCTATACAAATAAATAAAATTGGAGTGTCCGTTTGTAATATTAAAATAACCGCTTTTTACTAAATGCATATGTATGTTTACACGGTACATATGCCAAAATAACATTTTTTACAATTTTTGTCCGTCTGTCTGTCTGTTTGTTCCAGGTAATCTCTGGAACGGCTGGACCGATTTCGATGGGACTTTCACTGGCAGATAGCTGATGACATAAGGAGTAACTTAGGCTACTTTTTTTAGACTATCTTCGCCCCGCGGCATTGCCCGCAGTTATAACAACAAACGCGGGTAACACCGCAGGTCTCAGCTAGTAAATAAATAAATCTGCCCAGATTGGAACTTCAAACAAGGCCCTGGATTGCAACATTCATACGTGTTCACATACTTCGGGGGCCACAATACCTGTTCTGTTCTGTACCTTATGCCAACCTGTTAATTTATAAGGATTTTGGATTTCGTACTCAATTTTTGAAGTAGGAACACGTTATAAATTTGTCAAATATTTCTCTTAAATTAATAAAGCTTATTAACTACCATCACGTCATTATCCTAGACCAAATTGTACATTTACCTATTATTATTTTTTATTCAAATTTTACATGTTTTAACTAAATCAGATTCGCCTTCATTTCTTTAAGTACCTGAAATTGGCTGTACTATTAATTATATTTCAAAATACATTGTTTTAAACTTGAGTAGTAAGAACAGTTCTTCTTCCCGAAGCAAACTTAGTGTGCTAATAGATTGTCAATGTAATCAATGATTCCAATAGACCTTAGGAGGAAGGACCCCCAGAGTCTTAGGTAGGCGTTCGTATCTATCCAATAAGGCCCCTTCTGGTTGATAATGATGTAAGAAACCGGATGTACCAGATAAAAACATAACTGTGGGAAACAATCGAATATTGTTATGTTAAAATAAAACCAGTTTGTTTTCGTATTTTTTTATTAATTTATTGTTAAATTAAATGTTGTAATTATTGGCACTTAAAGTTTTTTCGGTAATGCTATTGCTACACTCTTAACTTCCAAATACTCATCTATACTGTGCAAGCCACTGTAACAAAAAAACATAATTTAGATAAATGTTCCTGTATAAAACAGCTTCTTGTATAAGAGGAATTGAAAGAATAAGCCAAAGTAGGTTGTTTGATACTAAATGTACCCATTTATGCACTCATAAAAATGAAAACAAAACTTTCTTATATATTTGAGGTATTTTCATATTGCATATTATACTGAAAAGTTAGAAAGGTGTTAGCTTAAATATAACTTAAATGATCCATATTTAATAAAAAAAATATGCAATGGTTACTATGTAGAGGCATACTATACATAGAGGGAAGAAAATAAAAAAAATCGTATACTAACCTTTCACGACCAATGCCTGAGTCTTTGAATCCTCCAAATGGTGTCTGAGGGTTCATGGCAAAGTATGTGTTTACCCTGCAATAAGGAACATAAATATATTAACTCAAATTTTGGTAAGTATTTCAGTATGTATACAATTTTTCCGAAAGTGTTTGTAATATATGGATGTATTTCTTAATTTTTATTAAGACTAATCCCTACCACACGCCTACCACTGTAACTCCTGTACACTAGGATCAACAGCAGTGACCAACACACAACACACCGAGTTATTACACTCGGGAAGTCCCAGGAAAAAATTAAACTGTCTTGGAACCCGCAACGAAATTAATCAGAAGAAAATTGGAGGAGTTAGAAATACAGTAAATCCATATGCGTGTATGTATGATATTCCAAGTTTAAACATAAGAGCAGCTTACTCAATCACACCTGAATAATAAGAATTTTAACCATCGAAATTATCATCTCCTCTATTTTACTAATGCTCTTTTAATATATAACATCATCGTCGTTCATCGTCTGATAAAATGAAAAACAAATATAATAATCACCAAACAGTGCCGGCCTCAATGTGTTTACTAAACTGTAGGGCGGTGTTGACGTTGTTTGTGAAAATTCCAGAAGCCAATCCGTAGCTGGTGTTGTTAGCACGCTCAAGAACTTCTTCAAACGTTTCGAACTTTAGAATACTCTGTACGGGACCAAAAATCTGTAAGTAAAAATCAAGGCATTTGCCGTTAATTTGGTAGATTATAATGATGCAACGAGCCTAAGAAGGTATTGGTAAAAAGACAGAAACAATTTTTTTATAAAAATAATACTCAATAATTTGTTTGATTGATTCAACTGTAACTGTTAGTGTGAAACATTTACCACAGAACTAGAAAATTGTTCAACAATTTTGAAATAGACGTTACATAAAATAAGGTTTCGTTTTTTTTTTAAATTCAAGCCATCTTTTTGAACAAATTTGCTATTCAAATAGGTACCTTCTATCAAAGTTTAAATTTTTGTAATTTCTTATTAATACAATAGAATATAGGCAGTTATTACCTCCTCTTTTGCGATCGTCATGTCGTCTGTCACATCAGCAAACACCGTAGGCTCTATGTAGTACCCAGTAGTACCGAATCGCTTACCACCCGCCAGACATTTGGCACCTTCTTTTTTTCCTTTCTCGATGTACCCCAATACCTTTTTAAACATTACTTCGTCCACCTAAACAAAGAAACAATTATTTAAGAATATAACTATAATATAATAATAACAATATTCTACCACATCCACACAACGCCATCTAGTCCCAAACTAAGCAGAGCTTGTACTCTGTGTACTAGACAACTGATATAAATACATATATACTTTTTTTTTGTAAATATACATATTATACATAGAAACACCCAGACCAAATCAAACATTAAAAGTTCATGCACACAAATGTTTGACTTGAGCGGGAATCGAACCCGCGACCTTTGAAATAGCAGTCTGTTACACAAACCACTACGCCATCCGGTCGTCGTGACTGACTGAAACTGAAATTAGTTAAGAGTGAGGTTTTGTTAGAGAGCTGCATCACACATCGCCCAGCTGCTAATATACACACTATTCTTCCCGATCTATCCATATAAGCATGCTCTTTTTGTTTCCATTGTCATCCCTGTACCTCTTAATTTACTTCTATTTTCCCATTTCTATACATTCTAAACGTGCTGAGACAACCACAGTAAACTTGTTCGCTGATTACGTAAGCAAAATTAAATTAAAGTCAATAAATAGTTTAATATGCCTCTATCTGCCTCTTTTGTTTAATACAGTCACGAGTGTAAACCATATTATGAACTTCGAAACGTCAATTTTGTGTAGGTTGTAAAAATGTTATATGTTATGTGTTTAGACAATTAAGAAGGTAAATTAAAGCGAATGATTTTATTTACCATGTTTACGTTAGATGATAAATATGAAATTATAGTAAAGAAATAAAAATAGAGGTAAGTCAAAATTTCTCAAAATGTATTTACTTGCGGTCCGTGTTGTGTAGCAGGATCAGCAGGATTACCAATTTTGATATTTTGAGCATACTTAACGGCTGCCTCTACGAACTTGTCGTAAATTCCAGATTGTACAAAAAGTCTAGAAGCTGCTACACAAGCTTGTCCTTGATTGAAGAATACTCCATTAGCAGCGTATGGTACAGCAAGGTTCACTGAAAAAGAATAAGTATCATGTAGACATGTTCATTCAAAATTTGTGGTGGTAAATATAAATTGTGAATGTTATTTAAGTAGTATATAAACAAGTAGGTGACTTGGCTGATGTTAAGTGATCATTCGTACTCGATTGTTAAGATATTTATCACACAATGTGTTCTATCCTCGTGAAGTTAATGAATTCTACTTTTTGTAACTGTGGTAAAACTTACAATCGGCATCATTCATTATGACAAGCGGACTTTTACCGCCGAGCTCCAAACAAACGCGTTTCAAATTGTTTGCTCCAGCTGCTTGCTGGATCAGCTTTCCAACCTGTAAAAAAGTTTTTAGGTAAGTATAATATACAACGAATTTCCTATTGACCGTGACTTTGTTTGAATTGTTTATATTATTTTCATAAGTGACAGTATTTTGCTTATTACCTGTATTCTATCCAATTTTTTTATATGATACTTTATTTGAATAAATATCTTTTATATAATGTCTTAATTTAGGTATGATTCTATAAAGACTTGACAAAAGATAAAGTGACTTACTTCTACAGATCCAGTGAAAGATATTTTAGCCACATCTGGGTGGTGTGTTAGAGCCTCACCAGCAGTCACGCCGTATCCATTAATAATATTTACAACACCTTTGGGAAAACCGGCCTCAGCCACTAAAGCGCCTAAAGCTAAAGCCGTCAGTGGCGTTTGTTCAGCTGGTTTTACCACTACAGTGCACCCTATAAATAAGTAAAGAAAGGGATTTAGAATTATTATTTTTATACTGCGCGTTAGGTAGTATTTTATTCTATTTCTTTTAATAATTTATCTAAATTGTGAGTATTTTGTTAATGTCACATGATCAATGTAATCAATGTAAATACCAATGTATTAATAGACGGCTTTTTGGTCCGTTGGACTAGTGGTTAGTGACTCTGACTTTTGAATTAATTTATAATATGTATGTATTTAAAAATATATAAGAAGATTTTTCATTACTATTTTAATATGTTCGATAAATGAAAAGTTTCTTTCTAAAACTAATCCTAAATAACACACCGAGGTTTAATTTTTACAGTGACATTGTCAAATTTAATGCTCGGCGGTGATTTGAGGTTATCTTTTAAAAGTAGCTGGAAGGTTTTGTTGGGTGCAAAAAAGCGATTACGTTCACCCCATTGAGATATCAAGTTCAAACATCTATTGTCTTATCTCTCAAGCCCCGCCCTATTATCAGATTCCACCCGTAATAAGCCGTCATCAGCACACGCGTTCAGAGTACATCTGGATGGTGTTGGTATCGCCAGAAAATCGTCGAAGGCGATATTCCACAAGTATGGACCTAACACTGATCCCTGAGATCATCCCATTGTAAGCGTCATTGACACAGAATGGTGACCATTTCTTAGTTTAGTCGTACCTTGCGAAAAGTACGAAGATATAAGGGAATAAATATTTTTAAAGCACCCCCGTGATTTTAATTTCAGCAACAGCATGGGCCACCATGCGTTATCGAAGGCGCCAGATATATCTAAGAAAATAGCCAGCACGTATTGAAATTTTGACTCTGTGACAAACTTTCTAACCGATATAACAGCGTCAGTTGTCGATTTACCCAACGTAAATCCAAATTGTCTATCATGAAATTTGACTCCACCTGGCAGAAGCCGGGGCACTACAAGTCGTTCTAAAAGCTTTCCTAACGATGGTAACAATGTGATTGGTCGGTAGGATTTAGGATCATCCGGTGGCTTGTCGCCACTTTTTGGTATTATACGAATATTACCGAAATACGAGGATTTATGAATACGAAGAAATATTATTTCCGTAATGCAATATTTAAAAACAGTTAAAATCTTGTTACCCAAAAGTTTACAAGCTTCTTTTATCATTATGTTTGATATTTTATCATCGCCCGAAGCCTTGTAGAAGAGACGAAAGAGTTGCTAAACGCGGGTTTTCTGTGAGGCCGTGGTTACTTCGGCCTTGGTAACCGAAGTTATAACTTCGGTCGAGCCGGCCAATTTGTCCCGAAGTATGGTTCGGTAACCCTAATAATTTAGTGAAATACATCTGAAGTGTAATTCAAGAAATTAATAATACATTGATAGCATTGATATTCAAACTGATCAATTTGTATAATATGTTCGACAGGTACTTACCAGCGGCCAGAGCAGTGCAGACTTTCCACAGAAAAAGTACACTGGGACCGTTCCAAGGCAGAATCAATGCAGCAACACCAACTGGCTGTTTCAGCGTATATGAAAACAGTTCACCATCTATGAAGCAATTAAGAATTTAAATTATAAAATGGAACAGGCATTATCATTTACTTTGAGTCACTTGTCTACACTAGTTGTTATACAAACATCATAAATAATATTTTTTAGCATAAAATAGACACAGTATATAGTAGCCTACACTAAGAGAGGGACGAAAACGAAAATAAGTAGAACTTATTCTATTCAAGTGATACTTATAATTTTTTGTTCTTATTAATACCTGCTGGGATTGTGTCACCCTGTGCCTTATCTGCTAAGCTGGCTATATACCGTATGGTTTTGTTTATATTGCTCAAGTAGAATTTCATTCCACTCAGGAGCCCTCCATTGTTATAGGATTCCAGTTCTGCAAGATATTGACTATCTCTGACGACGAGCTCTCCCAACTTGTTAATAAGGGCACCCCTCTCAGATGCATCCATTAGGCGCCATTCTGAATTACGGTGAAAGGCTCGTTTAGCTGCTGCCACGGCTAAATCTACATCTGCCTGTTTAAAAAAAACGTTTTTCGGTTATTGTATTTTTATATAAGCATATATAACAACGTATTGATTTGTAATAGGAAATGAACGGGAATATCGAAATTGAACATCATCACAGACGTTAAGTGTAGATAACTGACTCATAAAACAGCGTCCTTGAATAAAAATACTCCAATTATTATTCTGTCTGTCATAATACCCATAATTAGTTTGGTCTAGAGCGTTCAGTCTAGAGCAGGGATTCCCAAATTATTTCGAGCAAGAGACTCCTTTTCTAAAATGAACTGATACCTCAGACCCCCACAGCCAAATTACTGCAGGCTTATCGATTTGGTGAGTTTGTTAAAAGTACAACAATGATACTTCCTGCTAAAATTCTTTCTTATAACAAGTTGGTACATCTAACACAAGTTATACAGTACCGTGAAAGTTGCAAGTGAGAACTTGTATTAATAGAGGTCTATTTTTAGGAACTAGTTTCGACCCCAAGGGGTCAATATCAATCACTTTGGGAATCTCTGCTCTAAATCTTTGTAAACGCGATGATAGAGCAGCACATATATACACATCCTCACTATCGTACAAAAATGCTTGTCATATGTATGACATAATGCGTAATAAAAACCGACAAAAACATTTGCATGTAAAACGTTGCCAAGGCGACACCAAATGGCTCGCACTGGCAAAAAGTTATCAGATCTCATGTAGAGCCAAGCTTCTAACTCTTCACGCCCTAATTCTAGAAGCCCTAAATTACAAATTCTACAATTTAGTCAAAATATGTGGCTTAGCCCTTTCGTTACTACAAGAACTATTGCAATACAGAAAAGTAATGAATACTGAATAAATCTTGCACCTTAACGTACATGTGGCGGTAGCGAAATAAATTTTTCACATTACGACCATGTATCGGTAGCGAAACATGAAGTGTGATGGTAAATCTTTATCACATATCTCTCATTTAAACTTTTCCACGATACCTTGCTACAGTGCAACACAAAAGTAGTGATTCTGAGTCCCAAATAAGTAGAAACATACCTTTTGGAAAACAGTGCTCAGTCGTGTTATTATAAAGTTTGAGGCCTTTGAGCAATGCTGAGTTTAATTGAGAACTACTTTGAACAAATAATATGACTAGTTCTATGCCTTTCTGGAAAAATGTTTAAGGTAACATGTGTGATGATGTAAACCAAAGAAAACCGCGAGATAGCGCCACATACGTGACAATCCGTTATATTACAACTAGCTGAAGTTATATTATCTTAATTCTGTCATTTTGGGTTACTAAGAATGACGAGGTAAAATGATATTGTGATAGTGATTTAGCCGAAATAGAACTTAATGACTTATCGATTAAAAACTCTCAGTATAATTATATTCTCTATCAAATATTATAATAATTAGACACCTAACTTTTTGTCACTCAATCACGCTAAACGGCTTTTCGGATCTGGACGAGATTTGGCACATGGATATATTATAGTCCAGAACATCACAGGGGCCACTACTTATCTCGGCCAAATTTATTGACAAAATTGACTTAAAGGCGAATGACGCCGTGGGTAAAACCTAGTATCTCATATGACTCTTCTACCACAGCTTCTACTGCCCTCTCTCACAGAAGCTGCAGTGAAAACTTATGCTAACTTAACATATCTTAATACTGTCAAATTGGGTAACTAAGGATGACAGTGCAAATTACAATAATTAGTGATAAAACTAAAACACAACATGCCATGTCATTGTAGAGTTATGCACAAAAGTTTCTTGGTATTATTTTAATTTATATAACACTGTAAAACTGTTTTGTTTTATCGTCACTTTATGAAGATATATAACAAAACAGGAGCAATTACATCCTAGATTTAACACCAATTCTGAAAATTCCAGCACATTAATTATTAGAAGAATTTCGCAAGTTTCTATAAACGTTTGTTGTTAATAGGAAAAATTCAATATATGTATATGGGGACTTTATTTGTGAAAAACAGTATGACAGGAAGGGGATAAAGTAGATCCTATACACGAAGGGGCTATCTGCAAGCCGTATATGGCTCGGTGTCCGGTGGGGTACCAGGGGTTTCTTTACTAGGTTACACCCGGTTACTGGTACCTGAGACGGCGTGGGGTTTTAATCGGTTCGCGTCCGACATAACCACCTTACCAGGCATACGAAGAGGGGAAATAGTTTCTCTACCAAAAACTTCTCGAAGTTTCCGAGCGGTACCGATCGAGTTGTGGAAATTCTGAGCCGATTTCTACGTATCGTAATACAGTTGTTCGATTTAGGAATAACCCTGGTATGGTAGCTGGTATATAAACTAATAAAGTACTAAGCGATTTTTGTGCCTTATTGTACAAGGGTTGGGAATATTCCATATTTAAAATTTATCTATAATTTTATATTTATCTGTAAGGTCATTTCCATAATACTTTTTAATTGCAACACGCAATGATAAATAATAAATCAATACTGGTGGTCCTAAATAAGTATAAACCGTATAAATAACGAAAGCAGTAGCTGACGAGGCTCATGCCATATTCTAACTATTGATCGGTCTAAAGAATAATCGAAAAATTATTCACTTCTTACTTTCGTTACGCTTGCCGTCATTTTTTAATAATTTAATCACTTATTATTAAAGTATGAGCTTGTTGGCAATATAATTTCAAAAACGTTTTTCATTTGTGTTAGTATGAAGCTTTCAATGTGCCAGAGTTATTGATTTATGGGTAAAGAGAGTAAGAGAGAGTTCTTGAGAAGTCAACAATCTTATTTCTCAACTTTTTTTTTAATTTTCCCAACTTTAAATCTACTAGTGTCAAACTGATAGCAATAGACTTGCCCCTATTAGTTGAGTATACACGTCTCTTTTTAAACAGTTTTATTTAACTTCACCTGTTTGAGTCAGGTCATTTAGTAATTAAAATTTTACCTCCCTCTTGACCGACTGATCTGAAATTTGGTTTACTTGTTTTTCACAGCTTTAGTTCTGATGACAATACATATACAATATATATTCAGTTTTTTTTTATAATAAGTCCCAGATGGCCGCCAGCACAAAACGGCGGATTAAATTTTTTTTTCAACCCCTCAATGTAGGTATTAAATAAAAGGTCTTGACTAGTCACATACGGTACATTATCACAATCACTATGACTACATTTGATCGAACAAAATTGCCCGCAGCGTCTACCTCTTTGTATGAATTTAATAAACTACTAATCGGATTTTCATATGGTTTTTACTAATAGACAAAGTGATTCATGAGGAAAGTTTATATGTATAAATCATTAATGTTTTCTGTAAATTGGTTGCATATAACGATATTTGTTGGAGGTTACGGAAAGAACAAGCCGACTGGGAGCTATAATTGACAACGCTGCCAAATTTCTTTGACAAAACAATATACGAGTATGGTGGAATTGTTCTTCTTTCATAGATCAATTAAAAAGTTTGCTATGGCATATACCTATCATTTAAGTATACACTTTAATGTTTAACAAAATGGGAAAAAACGTTTTAAGTAAACGGTTTATTGAAAAGAAAGATAATGATGATGTACATAATGTACTAAAAGCTGAAAAATAACTACTAACTAGGTAGATCTTAGACACTAGTCATCACACCAATCTCCTCATCAATCGAATGATGAATGATCGATGAATGGGAAAGGAGGTAATGATGAAAGATATGAAGGGAGTGTTTTCTGAACTGGTTATTAAATAGACCGAATCAGTAAAACAGATTTTTTACAATTGGCTCTCGAGGATATATGGTCCCAAAGTACTGTAATCAGTTCCCAAAACTCTGAAATTAGAACCCAAAATGATGAAATCCAAAAGTCCATAACATTTCTTTCTGCAAAATACAATGATGCTATGGTAGAAATAAAAAACTTGAGAGTGAAATGTAGCAGTAACCGGCAAGTAATAAAAGCGCTCGAAGCTAGGGTAGAATTCTTAGAAAAGCAACAAAAGGCGGCTTGTCTTGAAATTATGGAAACCCTCCAGGGTTTCCAGGGATGCCGGTAGATTTTACAGGGGCCTCCCTGTTCAAATCTGTTATAAATCTTGGTGAAGTCATAAACCAATCTATAAGTTCAGCAGAAATAGAAAACATCTGCCGTTTCAAGAGCAAGTCTAGTACAGTGGGTGCATGAACAGTTGCTAAATTCATCTAGAGACTTCAATAAACACAACAAGGAAAATCGTCAAAACACAACCCTCATAACAGAAAAAGGACCCAGACTTCCCATATACATAAATGAAGTACTTACGCCAATGACTAGACGCCTGCATTTCCACGAGCAAGAATACTAAGTGTTATTTATTAGAATTACAATATAACTAATTTTAAATTTAACTATACATATATACAATATATTACACAACTTAGGCTACCACTACAATTAACAGTAATTACACAGCACTGGAACATACATACTACCGTGTGGTGACGGATTAAGAATACAGAGTACCACTACCCCTATTCATCCCGTGGGTGTCGTAAAAGGTCAAAAATAATTATACACAAAATGAAGGTGTAGTCATCTATGTGCACATTTTTTTGCAATTTGCAGTTGGCAATCATTGTGTAGGAGCCACCATTATTAGATACTAATTGCCTCCAAGTAATAATTGACACAACTACTGTCCTCTTAGACATATACCGGGCCACCTGGATACACGGACCTAAGTAATTTTCTAAATTCTCTTAACGTTATCTTAAATGGACTATCTCAGGAAAATGATATAATTCTAATAGCGAACATAAATATTAATAAACATGAACAGTCTTGCAAATAACTATTATATGAAATGCTTGCAAAAAAATATTCTGTCCGTATTGATTATGATCAACTAGACTCAGACTTAAACATCTAGATTTTAGTGAGGTATATAAAACTCAAGATCCTCATATAGCAGGTGAAACAATAATTCGGTTAATAAGACACGCAGTAACCGCAAAGTCCTAAACTCTAAAGTTTCCAAATCGTAAAGAACTATTAAAACCTTGGATAACGCCTGGCTTACTCAGATGCATTTGAAATCGGGACGCATTGCAAAGAAAATTTAAACAGGCACCTAATAGCGAAGTCTTAAAAATTTCATACACACGGTATTGAAACTATTGTAATAAATTAATAAGAAACATCAAAATAGAATGTAAAAAAAATGAAATTAAAAAAAGCTGGTAAAAAAACTAAACAAATATGGTCCGCAAGATATCAGGTAGATCGACAAAGAAAGTTAATACATCATTACACTTTTATTATTTATATTTATATTGAAATTATGTAAATGACTTCTTTGCTAGAATAAGTAAAAAACTAGCTAAAAATATAAAGACTAAACCAACAGATGTAACATAGGTATACCTTCCCGAAACGGCGAAGTCCACGGTTATGCTTCCAACTGATGAGGTGGACGTAAAAATAATACTAAAATCACTTCGTAATAACTATAGTGCAGAATGGTATTTGATATCCAGTGACTTTCTGAAAAAGCATGAAAGTGCAATTGTAACTCCCCTGACTTATATAATATGTAACCTTGGCCTCTCCACGGGTAAGTTTCCCAATGTGTTTAAAAACCAAGAATCCATCCGGTCTACAAGAGCGGGGACAGAAACTGTATGGGCAGTTATAGACCAATAGTTGTCCAATAGCATTTTCCAAAATATTACAACATGTAATGACCAAATGACCAATGAGTTACCAAGAAAATAATAACTTCATTACACCAACACAATTTGGATTTCGCTCCGGTAAATGGACCTCTGATGCCTTGCATGATCTCATAGACTATAAAGTCTCAAGAATGGAAAGTGGTGATCCACTTTTGGGAATATTTTTGGATCTCTCGAAGGCGTTAGACACGGTTACTGTTCCATTTCTTGTAGACAAGATAGAGCGCTTGGGAATCAGGGTGTGGAGGAACGGGTGTCATGTCCCAACAACACAAAGGGAGGATGCTCCGACCAGGCGAGGTGATCCTGCTTGGCGGACCGCGGCCATACGGTTAAACTGCTGACATGAGGGCTTACATTTCGCAAGTTTGAAAAACAAACAAATTCGCAAAAATTAATTAGATTTACTTTCTATATTTAAGATCAACTAATTTTTTTGATTGCCTGTCGCCTAACATCTCACTATTTTTAAATATCCTATGGCGGTATATGTGGCGCAATCCAATGCGATGACATCATCCCAAATCAACAGTCGGACATTTTAACCAAGACAAACGTTTGCACGTCATCCAGTTCAAAAATATGAAACCAAATGAACATAGACGCGTAGCACTTGTCATGATGTGAAAATTAAACACTGACTACGAGTACACCTCGTTGTCGTAATCGCATGAGATCACTCCCTATTTTTGACCAAGGAACACCATTGATCTCTTCATTGTTATTCAAATTGCTGCCTGCACCACTAGGCCCCAAAGTCTTTAGGATTTGTATAATTAGTATTTGTGTAGATAATTGTATGACAAGCTATTTTAAAAAAGGGCCGAAATCATCCAAGTCATTTATTTATAAGGATTTTAACATTTAGTTCGCTGGCTATTCCTATTATACTAATAAAGATTATTATAGCGGAATGATATCAGCGGGATACGTCTTATTTCTGTTTTACATACGTACACAAACTATCCATTTATATTTGTTTTATTCATATTTTAGAGTTTTCAAATACTCTAGTGGATAACCACGCAGGCTGGCTTCCGAAGTGGTTACTCCGCAATAAACCATTTACACACTGTCAAGCAATTGATGGTGAGATGTAGAGAGTGTAACCGCTCACTATGTTTTAAAAGCATTCAAAAGCGTCGAACACTGGGCGGTGTTTCACTCACTCCATCGTTTGTAATATTGACAAGTGCTACGTAAACATACTTCGGGAGTTCTATGAGTCTGCAAGAATGCAATTAAGCATGCATAGTTATCTGACCTTATACCCATACGCCGTGGATTGCGTCAAGGGGATACGATCTCACCCAATCCCTTTTGGATTACATCATACAAACTTTGGATTGGGAGGAGAAAGGCATTTACATCAACGGCCGCAACATGTCACACTTGCGTTTTGCTGACGACCTCATTCTCGGTGCCGAGTCCGCCGCAGAACTCCAGATCATGCTCAGCCAACTGCATGAGGTTTCATTGAGCGTCGGCCTCAGGATGAACATCCTTTGACTGGGGCTCCCAGGTGCGAGAAATTGCTAGGCTTATTCAATTAGGGTGGGCTTTTGGAAAATTGAAAGATGTCTTCAAGTCAAAATACCCGCAATGTTTGAAAACCAAGACTTTCAGCCAATATGTTCTGCCTATTCTCACTTATGGATCTGAAATATGACCACTCACAAACGAGTAAATATATGCTATAAGGATTGCTTAAAGAGCCATAGAGCGGGTCATGCTAGGTATCCACCTCGTGGACCTTATACTAAACGTCGAAATTCGAAGCCGCACCAAAGTCGAGGATGTAGGTATGCGGATTGCGAGGCTTAGGTGGGAATGAGCAGGGCACTTGGCCAGACATGACGACGACCGATGGACTAAGGCAGTTACCAAATGGTGGCTAAGAGATATGCGGCGGCCTCCAAGCAGACCACCTGCCGATGGTCAGACGACATTGTGAGACGGTAGGAGAGCAACGGATCCCGATGGTACAAAACCGCTAGAAGTGGCGTGATAGAGAAGAGGCCTATACTCAGCAGTAGGCGCAACGCGCGGCTTAGATAGATAGATAGAAATAAAACCGTATCTTCTCCATTTCTTCGATTATCTCTTTTATACTATCTTTAAAATCAACTATATCCTAAAATGAGTTCATATCCAATAAATAATTAAAGCAATTTTAAACAACGAGCGCAGGCCTCAGGGCAATGCAGAGCTGTTCTTCCCGAAGAAAACTTAATGTGCTAATGTAAATAATTCCACTAGAATCTGTCTAAGGTAAGCGTACGTACCTACCCAATGAGGCTCGTTCTGCTTGATAACGTTACACAATTAAAATACTAGTTATTATAATAGATAAACGTTGACAGGAAGTAACTCCGAGAGACAAGATAAAATATCATAAGTTCCACTTCAGTTTATTTTAAAATTATACTTCCTTTTAACTTCTTTCTAAGGAGAGACCTATTTCCAGCAATTGACGGGTCACTTGACGGAAAGCGACTACCGCCGCCCATGACCGCCTGCAACTCAGGACTTAACACAAGCGCGTTGTTGGTCCTTGATGAAGGAGTACACTCTTTTCTTAAAGTTTGACACTAAAAGCTATTGGTGATATAGGATATAATAGCTTATGAATAAAACGAGTTTATTTTCATATTTTTTTTGTCGTATATTATTTTATGTAGGTAATTTTAAATTAATTTGCAGCCAAAAGATTAATAATCAGAAAATATAACAGATTTACAGTTTTTTAGGTAAAGCTATTGCTACACTCTTCACTTCCAAATACTCATCTAAAGTGTGCAAACCACTGTAAGCAAAAAAAAACAAAAAATAATTAAGAAAATGTTTTTGCCTATAACTGTTTGAGAAGAAGATTTAAAACGATGTGCTCAAGCAATTTGTTTGGTTCTAATTGTACCCGTGTAGGTACTCAAAAAATTGACTCTCTGAAAATTAGAACCGAAACCTCGAGGCTTATTTAAAGTGATATTATTACCTCTTACAAAAAAAAAACACTAAAATAAAGTTTTATTTTCGGGATATCACTACAGGTATGGAAGAGAATATGGAAATTAAAAGAAACATTATTTTTCAGAGAGAAATGTAATTTCATTTTACTGAAATGATTCTTTGATTCATATTTCATGAAAAATTTGTAATCGTATACTAACCCTTCACGACCAATGCCTGAATCTTTGAATCCTCCGAAAGGTGTCTGGGGGGTCATGGCAAAATATGTGTTCACCCTGGAATAAAGAAAATATATTGTGTTTTCTAAATAACTGTACTAGCCTGAATTTAGAAAATCAATTCATATTGGGAACTGATTTTTAGAAGCACTTGAAAAGGTGTTTTTGGGACACATTCAAAAACCAAGTTTATATACTCAAATATCTGTAAATAATAATGAGTCTAGGTACTAAAATATTGTTATTTTTTATTGTAATAGTGTTTTTTTTTAATGAATAGGTAATCATTATAATTACCAAACATTGCCAGCCTCAGCGTGTTTAGTAAACTGCAGAGCGGTGTTGATATCATTTGTAAAAATTCCAGCTGCCAATCCGTAACTAGTATTGTTAGCACGCTCAAGAACTTCTTCAAACGTTTCAAATTTAAAAATACTTTGTACGGGACCAAAAATCTGTAAGGAAAATTTAATTGTCTATCATTAATTTGGTAAATTCGTAGATTAGAATTATGCAAATAGAACAAAGAGAATAAATTTGCTATTAGAATTGATATATTTGTCTTTTCTTAATATCGTAGTATAATGAACAATTATTACCTCCTCCTTAGCGATAGTCATGTCATCTTTCACGTCAACAAATACCGTAGGCTCTATGTAGTACCCAGTAGTACCGACTCGCTTGCCACCCGTCAGACATCTGGCACCTTCTTTTTTCCCTTTCTCGATGTACCCTAATACTTTTTTAAACATAACTTCGTCTACCTAAAATAGAGAAAATGTTTTAAAGTTATGTGTCTGATTCATTAAAAAACTACTACAAATATTAAATCTTAATATCTGATTATATTAGAAAACTATGTTATGAAAAAGTTAAAATTTCTAAAAATGTATTTACCTGCGGTCCGTGCTGTGTAGTAGGATCAGCAGGGTTACCAATTTTGATACTTTGAGCATACTTAACGGCTGCCTCTACAAACTTCTCATAAATTCCAGATTGTACATACAGCCGAGAAGCTGCTATGCAAACTTGTCCTTGAAGTAAAAATACTGTATTAGCAGCAAATGGGACAGCAACGTTCACTGAAAAGGACAGGAAGTACCATGTAGACATGTTCATCCAAATTTTATGTTATTAAAACCATAAATAGGAAAATGTTGAAAATCAAAATTATTAAAATAGTATATTATCAAGTAGGAGACTTAGCTGATGAAAAGTAATCACTGGCACTTAGACTGCTAAGATATTTATCATGCATTATGCACTGTCCTTGTTAAGTTATTTATTACAGCCTACTTTTTGGAACTATAATAAAACTTACAATCGGCATCGTTCATTATAATAAGCGGACTTTTACCGCCCAGCTCCAAACAAACACGTTTCAAATTGTTTGCTCCAGCTGCTTGCTGGATCAACTTTCCGACCTGTAAGTAAGGTGTTTATTTATAATTTACAAATAATTTTCATTAAGCGTGACTTTGTGTCTTACTCCATCGCACTGTTCTCATATTCTTATCCTTTTTTTTAATGTTTTGTCAATTCTCTGTACTGATTACCGTTTTTAATGAATATCTTATATATAAATTTATTTATTTAAGTGACTTACTTCTACAGATCCAGTGAAAGATATTTTAGCCACATCTGGGTGGTGTGTGAGAGCTACACCAGCAGTCTCGCCGTACCCATTAACGACATTTACAACACCTTTGGGAAAAACCGGCCTCAGCCACTAAAGCGGCTAAAGCTAAAGCCGTCAATGGCGTTTGTTCAGCTGGTTTCACCACTACAGTGCACCCTGCAAACAGACAAATAAATATATGTGGAAATATTGTTTTGCAATATGATATTGCTGTGTTAATAGTAAAATAGCTTTAAAATTCAAATTCTTTCTTCTTCTTTCTTTTTAAAAATTAACTCCCGCACTAGGAATATGTCCTGTGTCATGGGGAAATTTACAAAAATACATGAAACGGGCACAAAAATAGGCGGACTCAGAACAAAAATTCGTGGATTACATGAAGTATTGTCCCATTGTCCACAACACTCAGCGCAGTAGGAAGCCGCGAGGTGACCGCTTAAACCACTACGCCATCCGTGCAGTTAGCCAATTGAACCATTTTGTACACAATATAAACATTTACAGAAATAACACAAAAAGGAATTATATGCACAAAGGCGAGCTAAACCCATAATTAAGTTTTCTTCCAAAAAACCTATGAGTGAAGAGAGGGTTGCACAACACGAGAGAGTGGCGTGTACAAAGAAATTTAAGAAATAGAAATAAACAACTTGAAATATACAGAATTAGAAACAATAAATCCCAAATATCCCAAATAGTATACAAGATTTTAGTTTAAACAAATTTAAATCCACATTAAAACGTAAACTATTTGAAAAAGCCTATTACTCAGTTGTGGATTACATAGAAGACAAGAAGGCTTGGGATTAATTTAGCACAGGCTATTTTGTAGTGGAAATGTGATATGGACTAGTGTCTTTGATTTAATTTTCAATTTTTTATGTTTTATTTCACTTGCTTTTTTATTTCATCTTTTTTCCATATCTTGTTTTCTCTTCATTGCATTTTTACCTTTTAGTCCTTAAAAGTTACATACTGGCACACATCAAAACAATGTTGTGTATATTTAATGATGCCAATGTTATCTGTTGATTGAAAAGAGTGGTCGTGAGTTTGTTTGCCCTTTCTTCTCATGATGCTCAACCCCTTGAAAATGGGCAGTTGTAGATCGGCACAGCCATATAAGAGATTTTCGATAAGTATTTATTTAGTTCGCGTAATTTTTGACAAATAGAGATTATTGCTATTGTGTGTGTTGATCTATGACTTTAGAGTCTACACAAGAGACGGGATGGGAAAAATGGGACGTTTTTCGTTAGGAGTAAAGTTGCCCTACAACCTCTGCATAATTATAAATCTCCCAGATTCATGACGAAGCAAACTTAATATTATTAATAAGAATTAATAAGAAAACTTAATATTATTTTGCGATGAATTTTTTTTAACAGAAAACGCTATTAAATAAGTGAAGCCTCGAACGGATTTCCTACGAGTCACACAAGTTGAGAAATGAGGGGAAAAAATCAAGATTTTTTTCGAGATAAAAGTTTGTTTTCTCGTAAAGATTCTAACGATATTGACATCAGCAACTCTCATTTTCTTCGTTTTGCTCACACTACAACCTATTTTTTGTTTTTCCATTAAAATTGTTTTCCCCAGTTTTTTTTCAATATAAATGATTTTTTAAGCTAATACTTTTACCAAAATTATCACTTTGTAAAAGCCCCCCGTTTTTTTTTTGATCTGAACATTCTCAGTCTGTACTACAAATGTAAGCTAGCTTTAAAGCACAGCTAAATCTACATCGGCCTGTGTAAAGAACACAATGGTATTAATTTGTGACAAAAAATTGACACCAATACTAAAAGTGGACATCGCGACAGACGTTATGTGAAACAGATGACTGAATAACTAAAAACTAGTCCTGTTCCATCCATAATAAACACCTTAATGACTAAAATCTAAGGATAGACCACACTTTGCGTAGGAACTCCGATTATATGGCTAAACTGGCTCTGGATTAGAACTAGGAAGGATAACGTAAGCATGGCTGCCCAAAGCAAACCTGGCGACGCACTGTCGCAGATGAGGCGAAGAAAATCGGCAAGACATGGAGTGAGGTCAAGTGCGAATCTTAAGGCCGAACGTGATAGAGGATTACTGTGGACGTCCTCTGCCCTATCACGGGGCATAGGGCATTAAGAGACACTTCAGTCCGTCTAAAGGCCGTTTCACGTATTTTATAGCAATTAAGAGTAGCAGAGTTTGGGATTTTTTTTTTTTATTTAAAACATTAACAATTTACATTCGTTTCTGACATTCATGCCTACAAACCTTATCTCCTTCGGAGACGTGCGCGATAACTGATCCGTCATGAGGGCAGGTAGTGGGAAATGTTTTTCCACTTACAGAATCCACCCACTTATTGTCAATGAACAACTGTAAAAAAAATTAATCAATGGTCACTTTCAAGTAACGTAATCAATATCACAAAGGTAATAAACTTTTCCGTTGCTTGGTTTAGATGTTTACCGACCTATATACTGACGACAATTTTACAGGTGAATGATGATCAAGCGACGATAAAGCCTATTGTGACCTGTTGGTAATAGTTTAATGTTCGACAAAATGTTTTGTTTTTGAGCTAGCTGCTAGCTTTTTTAGGGCGCATAGTATAGATGAATATCAAGAATCTATTCTTTATTTATTTATATATGTCAGGTGTATAATAATAACTGATACCTTACTGATATAAATACCATCAAAGTGACAAATTATTGTTTATTATTTGAAAGATTTAAAAAAATATGAAAATACACATTTAATCAGTTAATTAATTTATGTACGGCTGGTAATCTAAAGTTCAAGAGTTAAGTTATAAATATTAACAACTTTCAATAATCATCATCATCATCAGCCAGCTGGATAGGCCTCTCCTATTGCACGCTACTTCGATCGATTTTCGGCTTCTAGCATCCAGCTCCTGCCATCCATCTACAATCATCATCATCATCATCAACAGCCTTTACTAGTCCACTGCTGGACATAGGCCTCTCCTTGGGAAGGAGGTTTTGGCTATCTACAATAATACAATCTAATATCTACATCAATAATTTTAACAAAAACAACATATGTTATACCTACATTGAAACTGTCAAAATAAATGTAGTATCTGATATGAACTTGTGTCAATGTATTTATCTTTACAGGCGTTATACAAAAATAATCAAGTAATCAATATACGATAAACAAGCCGGCCGGTCGGTACTGTTTTGATACGAAAATAGAAAGACATATTTTAATAAGACTGTTGATAAACATACTCATATGTTACTAAATACATTTTTTTAGATTATGTAAAATAGTAATACGGATAAATTACTTGATCCTATATATAAATATTTTTGGCAACATTACCGAAGTGCAGTTTATTGTAATTGTATATAGATACCTTAGTATATTTAATTTGTGGAGCCATATTACACTATGAAGACACAATCTAATAATCAACAATAATACGTGTGAACGTCCGCGAGTCACAAAGTCACAAATTCGACTGAAGTTGGAGTCTGAACGTTACGAGATTTTAAACTGTACATATATACATATAAGTTTCAAGCTTACCATTGTGTATGCGATATACAGTATACTCCTTACTCTCGTACAATAAATACATATCACACATATGACATAATACGTACTGATAATAAATCTTTATCACATATTTTACCGTCTCTAGTTTAAACTTATTTACAACACCTTGCTACAATACAATACAAAAGTGATTATACTCAATCCAACCCAATCAGGTCAAAACTTATATTTTTGAATCAGTGCTGAAACTAAAACAACTGAAGAGAAACATTTTATAAAATACTAGCTGTACCCTACTACGCTTCACTGTGTACCCTGCCACGCTGCAGTGTGGCACATTGTGGTTGCATTAATGAGATATGATGAACAAAACTTAACCCAAATTTAAACAATCGTTAAAGCGATTTACACAAATCGTCTCCAAATTTGAGCTCAATCGGTGCAGAACTATTTGAGATTTTGAAGCGTGCACAAAACATTTAGATTATTAAGGTGATATTGTAACGTCCCGGCAGATATCCCCGGCATAAATGCACCTTCAAGCCAGAAAGACAGTTGATGATTCTATACCAGGTAAAAGAAATTAAGGAATCGTCTTGTTGAGTTCTTAGATAAGTCTCTCGATGCTCCTTGGCACATAAAACGTTTTTTAAATTTGTTTTTAAACAAGGGATGGCAGCATAAACATTTATGAGCACCAATACAAAACTCACAGAAAATTGCAAAATTCTGATATCAATTAGAGGTACAAAAGTTCCTTATATTTCAATTCGTTATAGGCCAACATCACCCATGTTATCATATGGTAATCAAGAGTATTACAGCCTGGGCTTAACATTGATACTAAAGCTATTTAGGATCAATTTTGAGCCCAGGCTGTAATACTCTCGTACAATGACATAGAATGTTCCTGGTTTTAACCGACGTCAAAATCACAAAAGAGGAGGTTATCAATTCGTCTGTATTTTTTTTTTGTATGTTGGTTTGTGACCGATTTACAAAATTCTTTTTGTAATCGAAAGCGTATCTGATGATGAGATCCTAGAAAAATCGAGGGCAACCCTCAAATTTTACAGCGCCGACAACGTGTGTTAGCTTATTTATCTAGCTTTATGAGTATTTGCATTTAATAGTCATTATGTCATGTTGTTGAGCAGATGATGGCAGGGTGTTGACCTATAGGAGTTAAAAAATAACTCTTTCAAAAATTTAATCATGTATTGACCTTGTTTTATTCTTTCAAGATATTTGTAAGGTATTTGTGTACGGTTATAGAGATATAGTAGTAGGTCCGTGTGGTGACGGATTAAGAATACAGAGTGTCACCACCCCTATTCATCCCGTGGGTGTCGTAAGAGCCGACTAAGGGAAAAAACTATGCAGAACAACAGCACTGCAGAGAGAAGGAAAACTTGACACAAACCCTATACCAACCCGTCTGGCCAGCGTGGTATAGTGGGCCAAAACCTAGAAAGCTAAGGAGAGGCTTATGTCCAGCAGTGGACTATTAAAGGCTGTTGATGATAGAGATATGTGCACACGCCCACACTTTTTCGTAGACATCTTTGTTGTTAAGTTTGAAAGTGATGTACATTTAATTTTTTTTTTTGGTGTATTTCGTATTTTGTTTTGGTATTTTATTTTTCGTTGACTTTGAATTCTATAGTATTTTTTTATTTTTTGTGTAAATATGTAAATGTGAGTATAGTGTAGGCCTGTAATGTTAATTCATATTTTATTATCTTTCTGGTGGTTTTGAGTATTTCCACGGCCTACCCAAATGTCCTGCTGGCGGTAGTGTCATGCTTCGGGTCGTTGATCTTGACCAATATCGGTTAGGCTACACGATGGCTGGAGCCTGTGTGCCGTCTGTATGGACAGGCTGACTCAAAACTATGGTCCTTTCCGCAAAAGGCCTATCCAGACACGATACTGTACTCGCACAGTTTTATATAACTTTGTTTACGGACTTAAAAAAAAAAGACACCTCTGTGGTTTGTTTCGGCGTTTCTTCCCGGCTTAATGCCGGCTCCTTCTAGCTATAAAGTCCGACTTGTAAAAATATCTGAAAAGATTTACTTACAGAAATGAATATTATTTATCATTTATCACGAGTAATAAATGAGATTACAAAATATTTATTACAGTTTGATTTGTAATAATTTTTAAATTTTTAGTGCTCTTTGTCAGTATTGTTTGAAGTCGGTTTATCTTTTTTTTTACATTTATATTGCTTATTTTATTATTTGACAGTTATACTTCGTCTACATCCAATTTGACAGTGTTAAGATCTTCGATCAATAATAGTACTATTATTGATCGAAGAGCTTTTAACAAAAGATTGGAAGGTAAATTGTCATATCAGTAAATCTACTTTATAAGTATAATGAGGATAATCTGTCATTTCCCTATTTCTAAATCCTTTAGCATAAGGATCGATGCGTGTGCACTTCTGCTTTTAAAAATAAAAAGTGTATTTCATGAGCATGGTGTGATATTCTTATTGTATACCAGCTTCCGCCCGCAGCTTCGGCTTGCGATCCTTTTTGTTAATATTAAAAAGTTATATCTTAGGATATTCTAAATTTACTGTATTTTACTTTACTTTAATATACGCGAGGTACGCGAAAGCTCCTAGAAGGCAAGTTATTTGCGAACTCTTCAACACTAATTATTATGTTTCACTCAATTTACATAAAAACAAAATCAATTATACACATAAACCTTCCCCAGAAATCACACTGTCTATTGTTAAAAACCAGTCAAAAATCTGTTCAGAAGTTTTTCAGTTTATCGCGGATACACAGACAGACCGACGCGGCTGGGGGACTTCATTTTATGATATGAAAGGAAAATACAGACACTATTTTTTGATTAAGTATAGACTAAAATATCTGGCCACGGGTCTAGTGACAGGTCATTACCTTTTTGATACGGGTGTGAGTGCAAACGATGATACCTTAAATCTCGGTCTTGGGTTCAAGAATTAACTTTGGTTGCAATCTCAAAAAAAAGGAATCGTTAAAAGAAGAAGCGTTAGAATTTCGGTAGATGATTTGATGATTTGTCGCCTGGGCAAAATCCCCAGCAGACAGTTGGTCGTTGTGGATTTGTTGCTCGTGTGGGGTTTTTAAGCCTCGAAGTTTCAATTTTGTTTAATCATCAAGCTTCATCATTAATATTCTGATCTGATGTATAAATAAAAGTACTAACTGACTTTCTTGCCTCACTGTACAATGACTGTATAGTATTATGAATGTATAGTATTCTATGTTACAAAATATAATATGTTTATCTCTCATTTATGTCTATTTTCCACGTGATCTTTACTCATTCAATTTGACAATAACAACATTGTCAAAGTATAGAAGTATCTATTATCTCAAGATAATTCATATGTACCTTTAAATTGCGTCAAGTTATGCAATATCTTAGTAACGACGATCGTAAATACGAGTAAGTGTATACAATATATATATTGTAGAGGCAGTAACAAACGAGGGTCACATATTGTAACTACGTCCTACATCTACACAATATTTTTTCTAGAATGAAACCCTGACTTATCAAACAGACAGTTTGGTATCTAACAAGGATAGTCAACGTTTTTAACTACCTTCCGTGGTGGGCAATCAGGACGTCACTGGTGTAACCTCGTGCCCACCAATCTGCAGGACATCATCTTTACGACAGATGCATATCGTATATAGGTCTGAACAGCGCCCAGACGGCAATCGTTTCCAGAAGGTCCTGGAGCTCGCCGAATTTGGGGTGGTTTGTGCAGTTCAAAAGATCAGCGGTCTGGGCCTATGGGTAGCATCTTATAAGATGGAAGCCCTGTGGTCCCATCTAATCGCTCTAATATGAATATGTTGTTCGATATTTTATCATCTTATACTTGTTTTCGATATATATAGTATATAGTAATTATCGTGATTTCAGATGGAATTAGAACAAATCTTCGCTGAGAGAGTTGCTGTAATTCATTTATGATATAACTATCTTTGCTTTTTAATTTTGAATTCCTTTTTAAATTGTATCTAATATATTTCGATTGTTGAAAAAAATAATTATAAAAAGTTTGAGTATGATTATGAACGTTTAAAACGCTCCGTCGCTAAATATCATATTCTCAAAAGACCACATTCGTAGAACACAACATTCAAACCTACATACGAAACCTCTTAAACGCTAGCTGGCGAATTATGTTCTCTTAAGAGTAAAAATGACAATGTCATCGTTTGGTCATATTTTATTGCAATATTAATATTTCATGTGAGATAAGTTCTGAACATGGATCAACCCAGTTGCAGTAAAAGTGAAATTAAATACATAAGAAGTTAAAAAAATAAACTAGTATTACTATATGGAGGATATTGGTATAATTTTTATTTAAAATATGAGTGCGGCACGACGAATTGGCGGTGTTCGAAGCAAAAGGATTGCCTTACGTCCATAACACTAAATAATAACAATGAGATCATGAGACCCTAATAATACGATATGTCTCCAATAATACGATATGCCGAATAATCTGTTTTTCTCATAGAAATGCGGCCTCCTCTGATCCAGACGTGTAGCCCTAGTCCCTTTTGCTTTAATAGCGTTGCTGCATGTAAAGCTTTGTTGGTAGGACTCAACTGTTCAGTGACCAACAAGATTAAGGTAGTTGGTGTTTAATTTGTCGTTGAAGTTTTTCCTTTTTTTTCTAAGATATTTTTCACCTTTATCAACAGTCGTACAACATCCTCAAACAAAATTCGACTGCGTCATTACTCCAAGAATAATATAATTCAAAACAGTCGTACACTAATAAAGTGCACCGTCAAAATTCTCAATTCAACACAACTAACACACAACTCAGTACAAATTCTAATACAGGGG